TCAGCACCACTGCCCCGCTGCGGGGGGGTGGGGGTGGGGGTGGGGGTGGGAGGGGGAGAGGGAGTCCTTATGTCCAAACTCGCCTTACTAGCTGTCCAGCCTTCTCGGTAGCTTATTCAGTTTCCACTGTCATAAGACCGACAGAATAACCTCCCTCTACTTTTTAAGAGCGTCGTGACAATCCTGTGAAAGACGTGAAACAGAATCTGCCAGTGCAGTAAGTAATAAAAAAGCTTGCAGCTTCTCCATACCTTCTTCTAACCCTCCCCCCCCCCCACACCTTTTCTCTTCAAGAAAAGAGGTAAGCAACCATTTCCATCAGATTTCCTCTAGTAAAGCATAGTTTGGGCTGAGTTTCAGATTAGGGAAGGAAAAATCTGTATTCAGCCAGATTACGCTAAGAAACTGAAGGGGTCCAGACAATGGTTAGGAGCTTTGTAGATGGGGTTATAAATGAGCTGAGAATTAATAGCCTGAACTGGATATATTACATATGTAGATGAATAAGCATACACTTCTCAATCTTTTTGAAAAGCTTTGGCAGTGTCAAAATACAAAATTTCTTAAATTAATTTGCAAACTCAAGATAGCCCCTTAAATTTTATTCACAAATTACACGTTTATCCTTATTACATTTATCCTTACATTTAACATTTGACCAGTATTACAACCCCCAACACATTCGAGTGTTTCATATTTCTGTAGCCCCTTAAATTTTTTTTTTTTGTCCGTCGTGGGGCTTGAACTCTGGGTCTGGGCGCTGTCCCTCAGCTCTTCAGCTCAAGGTGAGCGTACTACCGCTTGAGCCACAGCTCCACTTCCGGTTTTCTAGTGGTTTATTGGAGAAAAGAGTCTCACCGACTTTCCTGCCTGGGCTGGCTTTGAACTGCGATTCTAAGATCTCAGCCTCCTGAGTAGCTAGGATTACAGGTGTGAGCCACTGAGGTCTGGGTCTTAAAACATTTTATTATTTTTTTGGATCTGGTCGTGGGGCCTGAACTCTGGGCCTGGGCGCTGTCCCTCAGCTCTTCAGCTCAAGGCTAGCACTCTACGACTTGAGCCACAGCGCCACTTCCAGCTTTTTTCTTATGTGGAATCGAACCCAGGGCCTCGGGCATGCAAGGCAAGTGCTCTACCACTGAGCCACCTTCCCAGCCCTCTTAAAACATTTTAAATCGTATTAATTTTGCAATTCATCTTCCTTATGGGCTCTTTATAATACTTGATATCAGTCCATGACAATGTGTGAACTCACTTAAGTCAAGTTCAAAGAATGGGCATTTAAGTGTGTGAGTGACAAGAGATTGAAAAGGTTGAGATATATATAGTGCCAGTCCTGGGACTTGACCTCAGGGCCTAGGTACTGTTCCTGAGCTTTTTTTGCTCAAGGCTGGCACTCCACCATTTGAGCCACAGCTCCACTTCTGGCTTTTTGGTAATTGGAGATAAGAGTCTCACTTTCCTTCCTGGGCTTGCTTCGAAAGTGCAAAACTCAGATCTTAGCTTGAGTAGCTTACAGGCAGAAGCCACCAATGCCCAGCAAAGTCCACTTTTCATGATGGCTCAAAGCTGGCATTATTTAGTTCAAATAAGAGCTCATGCACAACACTCAGGTGTCACAGGCCATGTCAGTGTCTTTCTACATGATAGTTAAGTTCCAATGGTGAGCATCTCAATATAGAAAGTGAAGCTTCCAGCTTAGATTTGGCGCTTCCACTGTGTCATATTGGTCAGACCACCACAAAGCACCAAGGAGATTCAAGAATGGAGTGGATAAAATCTGAAGCTGGGAAAAACACATGGAAGGTTATATTAAGGCCAAATAGTAGTTATTGGAGAGTGGTCAAGAGTCCAACAGCACAAATGAAGCCAAAACAAAGACAACTAAGAACCAACACAAGAAAACATGGCAATGTAAGAGAGGTAGGCAGTAACAGGAGTTCAGTTTTAAGAAATAGATAGGAAATCAAAAAGTATACAAGTCTGAAGCACTGAGGTATGGCATGGAAAGTCTACACCACACCCATGTGGCTGTGAGACTGAGAGGTCCACTGCACTCACTCTGTGGGTCAGCAGCCAATGATAGAGACCATAACTTACCACACAAGTATGAATTAGGTAAAGACTTAAATTCCTGAACTTAGGCGGGTGGTGAAACTCAGTTGGTATAGTTTACCCAGCATGTGCAAAGCCCTGGGTTCCAGGCCCAGCAAAACAATCCACACCTGAATGGTTATTTCAATACTCGTTTTATTAAAGTTATTTCTGAAGATTACATTTCATCCTTAAGTTTCCCTTTATGATTTTGCTGTAGCATTTAAAAATCCTTTCTTCATTGACCAAATCTATTGTAATGAATGAGCACCAAATACTGTCAGTATCAATCCGACTGAACTCTTGTATGGTATTAAAGGAAATCAGTAAAAGATTTGGCAAATCCAAATAATAAAACACCAAACTCGTCCCGTTAGTGAAGCAAAACTTCCTTACAAGTCTGCAAACACAGGTACTTGTTTGATGAAGATAATGAAGAGCAGGAACACAAATTTTCTTGATTCTTCAGTCTAAAAATGTGGGATTCAGCTGGGTGCTGGCGGCTCAGATCTGTAATCCTAGCTACTTAGGAGGCTAGGATCTGAGGACTGCAGTTCAAAGCCAGCCCAGGAAGGCAAGGCCATGAGACTCTTGTCGCCAATTAGCCACACAAAAGCTGGCAGTGGAGCTGTGGCTCAAGAGGCAGAGCACTAACCTTGAGCAAAAAACCCAGGGACAGAACCCAGGCTCTGAGTTTAAGCCCCAGGACCAGCAAAAGAGAAAAAGAATAAAAAAAAACAGAGTTCTTATGGCTTAATAAGAACCAAAACTAAAAATGTAGAGAAAACAAGTCAGTATAAATGATTTAAAAAAAAAATCACTTAACCAGACTTCCCTTTTCTCTAGAGTTTAGGCAAGTATAAAAATGCAGAAAAAGGGTCTGAAGTATGGCTCAGTTGGTAGAGGGCCCAAGAGTGAAAGCATCAGGTACCAAGTTCGAGTCCTAGTCTTAGACAAAAAAAAAAAAAGGAAAAAAAGCAGAAAAATGTACACTAAAAATAAACAGTAAAATAAATACAAGGGCCTACTCTAGTAGGCAATTTACATGTCATTTAATCCTCACATTATCATTAGAGAATTATAATCATCCTATATACAAGCTCCGAAGAGTGCAATCACACCACTAATAGAATTTATGTTCATGCCTACCAAGCCAAAGCTCTATTCTGCTGCTCCGGCTCCCTAGCCCTACAGGTTGAGCCTGTTCTTATATCCTTAATCTTCCAATTTTAAATTTACACTTTACATCTGCAAAACCACAAAAATCAAAAAGAACTTAAATTACTGTAATTTTAACCAGGAGGTGGAGGGTGCGGAAAAACTTCAGGTAATCAGAATATTCCACGCTTATAATTATGGTTAATTCCAATTCATTGGTAGTAATAGCTAGTAACTGCGAAACACACACAGGTAGTTTAACTGGTTCAACATCATAGAAATAAAAGTAAAAAGGACAAGTCTCAGCTGGGCACTGGTGATTCATGCCTATAATCCTAGCTGCTCAGGAGGCTGAGATCTGAGCTGAGAATTGCTGCTCAAAGTCAACCCTGGGCAGGAAAGACTATGAGACTCTTATCTCCAATTAACCACCAGAAAACCAGAAGTGAAGCTGTGGCTCAAAATGGTAGAGTGCTAGCCTTGAGTGGAAATAGCTCAGGGACAGTGCTCAGGCCCTGAGTTCCAGTCCCTTGACTAACCAAAAAAAAAAAAAAGTGTCAACTGCAGAATTTGCTAATTAAATTTATACTTAGTGGAATGCCAAAGGATCTTTCAGTTGCATTTTAAAAGTGCATATTTACCTCTGACCCTCCCTACCCACTCAAGTGCTTTCTTACCACTCCCATCCCCTTCTTGTTTTAAGTGTTTAAATCTAATAGAGATGTTAAGGCCCACAGAATTGGTAATTCTAAGATACTACTAAAATACTACATTCTGTGTAGTTTCCAAGAATTATCAATACTAAGAAGAAAACTTAACACCCCAAAACATGACTATTTTGCCTCACCAAAATATACCTCTTTGGGATATACTGAGCTGGCTAGTTTGAACTGCAGAAACAGGAGTAGCTTTAATTGGTTGCACTTTTACAAAATATTCACCTAGAAAGGAAACTTACATTAGCACAGGTATAAGAGAAAGAGGGCTGCTTCACTTTTCTTATGTGACTTTATTTGCATAACAAGATGCCTTTAACCATCAATCGCGCCACCACTGCCAGCCAGCCCATCTGTAGCTCAGGATGCTGTGCAGATATCAATTAACTGGGCTTCTCTGAATCTTTTATTTTGTGGGGGCCCCTTGTATATACACACAAGGAAATATGGCTTTTCTGTTCATACATCATGTATGCAAAGCTCTTAATTTAGTTGCTAGAGATTGTCCCCCTCTTTTGGTCCAGTTTTATTTTCTTTTTTGCCAGTCCTGGGGCTTGAAGTCAGGGCTTGGGCACTGTCCCAGAGCTTCTTGTTTTTGTTCAAGGCTAGCACTCTACCACTTGAGAGCCACAGCACCATTTTGGCTTCTTCTGTTTATGTGGTACTGAATCCAGGGCTTCATGCATGCAAGGCAAGCTCTCTACCATTAGGCCACATTCCTAGCCCTGGGTCAAGTTCTAAAAGGACTAGATTTTCATACTTCAGCAGCAGCAGAATGGGTGAGATGAGACAGTGTTTTTCTAGCATTAAAGTATCTGTATTATTCATTGTTAAGTCATACACTGGACAAATCTTTTTTTTTTTTGTCAGTTGTGGGGCTTGAACTCTGGGCCAGGGTGCTGTCCCTGAGCTCTTCAGCTCAAGGTGAGCGCCCTGTCACTTGAGCCACAGTGCCACTTCCAGTTTTTTGGTGGTTAATTGGAGATAAGAGTCTCATGGACTTTCCTGCCCTGGCTGGCTTTGAACCATGATCCTCAGATCTTAGCCTCCCAAGTTGCTAGGATTACAGGTGTGAGCCACCAGCACCCGGCTGGACAAATCTTTTACAGGACACTACATGGCTGAAATGTCCATTAACTTTAGGAGATCAATACATAAAAGAGCTAGACACTTATACAAATTTGACTGAAGATGGCTACAAAAATTAGGAAACTTTGCCATTGCTGGGAGTATCATGGCTCTGGTAGAACCGTGAGACCCAGTACCACAAAAAGAAAAATGTAATGTCTGTTAATGTGAGAGAGGTAGTGAATGATTGGTGAGTACAAACTAAAGGGGGAAAAATCTTAACATACCTAAATGAGATGAGAAATGTAGTAACATTTTTGTCCTTATCACCTCTTTTTATATGCTATCTGTCCTAAGTGACAGAGGCAGGGCTCAGGTCTGGGGGAATAGAAAGATGTAGTAATGATCTACACACACTGATTGGGTCATCAGCTGCTGTTGGTGCTGCTCTCCTTACCTATACCCTAAAATGCTGAAAAGAATTCCCTACCTGAAACTAAGGAAGTATTCTGCATTTCTTAATACTACCTGCTTTCCATGACTTGCCTGGCCTTTTAGCTCTTTTCTAAAGGGGTTGGGAAGGGGTAGGTATGGCATAGCAGTGTGGGCAGAACCCCTAAAGGGACTACAAGGACAAAAGATGGCTAAATATAAAATAATGAAAGGAAATCCTGAAAAAAAACCATGTACATAGAAAGCAACCCAAAGGATCTAAATTTACGTGAGAGTAATTTATCATCTAAATACCAAATGTAGAACTAATGCCTACTGTTTACTTTTCCCATAAAATGTAACAATACAGACACTGGGCTAATAAACCCAATGATCTGTTGGATATTCAAACTTAAGAGGATTTTGGATTCAAAATAGGAGAGTACCAATGTAAAAATAATTTTCGTAAACATTTTGATAAAAGTCCTACGAGTACTCACCACATTGTTCAAATCCCAATGGCAAGACTTGTGATGAGACCAAACAGGTCATAAACACTAGAAACAAAGCCAATATGACTAAATCCAAAACAAGCCACATGAAGTACCTCATGTACAATACAAACCTAATTTAATAAATAAAGGAAACAGGTGACTGCACTGTGTGAACATTCAGTTCTGAAGACCTGTTCAAAGTCTTCTCTGAGACTCAACAGCCACTTCCACCTGGGCCAGTCTAATGGTGCGACCATGAAGTTTGTACCCATCATGCCTTACTAATGCCACAGTGCCAGGCTGCACGCCAATACCAGCTGGAACGTGACAGATGAGTTCATGCTCATGAGGGTCATATTTGTCACCAATGGGTGCCATCTTTTCCAGGCCATGCTTGGTAAACACACTTTTCAGCTTAGCTTCTAAAAGTGACAACCCTCGGAAGACTTTCTCCAGAGTGAGCTTCTGGTCCTCAGGGTCTACTTCTTCAGAAATGCACTTAGTAGTGTTCTCCAAGATGTCTGCCACCTCCACCAAATCTTTACAGAAGCTCTGGATTCCTATGGAGAAATTAGACACTTACTTTATGATGATTCACTCTGCCTTTAAGAGTACAATTGGGACAGGCCCAGAGAGGTCACTGGTATATTATATACTGTGTAACCCAGGAAATAAGAAGGCTACACTGGAATTGGGCTCATTATCTTTTTTTTTTTTTTTGGGAGGGTCTGGTGGTGGGGCCTGAACTCTGGGGCCTGGGCGCTGTCCCTCAGCTCTTCAGCTCAAGGCTAGCGCTCTACCACTTGAGCCACAGCGCCACTTACGGCTTTTTTTTCATTTTGCTTATGTGGTGCTGAGGAATCGAACCCAGGGCCTCAGGCATGCAAGGCAAGAGCTCTACCACTGAGCCATCTTCCCAGCCCATGGACTCATTATCTTTGCCACTGAAAACCCAAATGCTAAGTCAGTGGCTGTTTCGGAAGATGCATAAGACTAGAAACCCTACTTGGAAATGGAGAAAAGAAGTAGAATCCAAGAACTATTTAAGTCTGTATTCAATAGGCCCCCAACTGGTTCTAAAACAAAACCCTACTGTTTTATTTCTTGCATTTCAGTTGTTATTGACATTTGGCATTAAGTTATGGACATTAAAAAAAATTCCTGCATGTCTGAGTTGTGCAAAGGCCATTCTCAAAGAATTTAACAATTTCTTTTTGTTGGGGAGGGGGGAGACGACACTATGCTAAGGATGTCAGAGTTGTTTATTCTAAAGAGTGGCTTACTCTTTTTTGGATGTATGTGGTGCTAGGGATAGAACCCAGTACCCAGTTTTACCAGAGTGATGTTCTCAGCCCAAGATTGAAGACTGGCTAATAACAAACAGGAAGGTAAGATACTTCTATAGATGAGATGAATATGCAACTGCCTACTATGAAGTTGCTAGGGATGGGCTACAAAACCTTTTACAGAAACATAAACTGTTACAAAAGGAAATTCAGTAGCATCTGTGAGGCAGAGGTGGGTGGATCCTAGTTACTAGGCCAGGCTGTGCTACATAGTATGACCTTGTCTCAAAAATAGTGTCTGCTCTGGCTGGGAAGGTGGCTCAGTGGTAGAGCGCTTGCCTTGCATGCCTAAGGCCCTGGGTTCGATTCCTCAGCACCACATAAGCAAAAAGAAAAAAGCCGGAAGCGGTGCTGTGGCTCAAGTGGTAGAGCGCTAGCCTTGAGCTGAAGAGCTGAGGGACAGTACCCAGGCCAAGAGTTCAGGCCCCAGCACCGGACCCCCCCCCAAAAAAAATAGCATCTGCAATACAACAAAACCCTAAACAAAAAGTAATTTCAGCTGTTGAGAAATCCCATATCCCATTTATCCTATTTTACCACTTTACTTTTCTTATGGAGATGAGGACAAGGAATGTCTTATGACACACTACTCAGCCGAGGTGGGGAGGGGCAGGGACTTTGTTCATCCAGAGTCAGGTTTATATCCCTGTGTTAGACAGGTAGCTGCCTTACTTATACTCAGAGGTAAAAAGGAAGATCAGCCACAGCAAGCAAAAAAGACACAACAGAAGCTTGATCTGAGAAGACCTGTTGTCTACATGGAAAGATTAGAGGAGAGATAGACCTTTTATCTCCTTTCCAGGTGATAAAAGAAACAATAGTTTCTTATGGAAAACAAATGGAAGCCTGATTCAAATGGTTTAATTAGTGCATGCCCATATGCACACACACACTGAAAGGTCCATTCCTGGATGGCGAGCAGACTCCACCCTCCTCACAGCAAAGTCTCCACCCAGTACCTGCGTTACCTAGGCAACTGAGACACCTGGAAGAGGTCACGTCTGCATCCGGTCTGCATCGGCTGAGGTCACATCTGAATTTGATGTGGCCACACCTTTCTCTACCTATACCCTAGATAAGGCCTAGCCCAGGCCCAGAGGCTCTCTCTCGCTGCTCTTTTCTAGCTCACTGCTCTTTTCTAGCTCTTTTCTCTCTCTTTCCCAGGCCTTTCCCAGCCACGTGGAGTGCCAACCTTGCCTGGTCCCAGCAGGTCTTCTGAATAAACCTACCCCTTACCTGAATACCATGTGCGTGCTGCTGGTCTTACTCGGCTACCTCTCTCTCTGCTCTTGTCTAGCTCTTCTCAAGCTCTTTTCTCGCCCTCTTTCCCAGCTCTCTCTCTTTCCTAGGACTTTCCCAGCCGCGTGGAGTGCCAACCTTGCCTGGTCCCGGCAGGTCTACTGAATAAACCTACCCCTTACCTGAATACCACGTGCGTGCTGGTGCTGTTCTTACTCGGTTACCTCTTTTTAAAAACCTAACACACACCATTGAGGGTGGGTGAGGGGAAAGGTGACATATGGGGTAGGAAGAAATACGAAGCAAAATATTTAGGTTGGATATGGTCTGGTCTGGTGTAGGAGGGGGGCAACAGAAAGAGTGAAACCAGAAGGCAGTGCCAAACAGTGTCTTGGTTGATAAAAGAATTCCAGGTTGTTTTTTTAAACCTTCCTTCTGGTGCTAGAGATAAAACCCATGGCTTCTTCACACATACTATACAAATGCTATGCCACTGAGCTAGACTGCTACAGAATTTTAAAAGCTGCAAGCTTCTAGGATAATATGTACATTATCTTTTGCTTCTGGTTATGTGATTTTGGGTAATCAGAAGCCAAAAGTCCTCTTGTTTATATACTGAGGGCTCAGCCTCTGACTGTATTTTTTTAATTTTTTAAATATATTTTTATTGTGAAAATACTGTACAGAGGGGTTACAATTACATGGGCAAGATAATGAGCACATTTCTTATAAAGCATTGTAGCCTCCTGCTTTGTTTCCCCTTCCCATCCCTTTGTATCCTCTCCCCTCACCAAAGTTGTAAAGTTCGTTTTTCGACATAACGACTTGTGCATCTCATTGTTGCAATGGGTCTGACTGTATTTTAATTATTCTATTACTTTAATAACGATCATATAATCTTAGAAAAATGGATCTTTGTGAACCAAAAGGTAGACTCCTAAGACAAAACTATCCTTGGAAGTCAGGTGGCCTGCCACAACCCTCAAGAATACACCACCTTCCTTCTTCATGCTCATCTACTAATCTTTAATTTTCTAAGTATCTCTCATTACTACGAAGAAATAACCTAAACAAACAGCTTAGGTGGTATCTTTTCCTAGACACATCTTGTTCTAGGTTAATACTTGATTTACTATCAAAATCTTTTGAATTTAGTTAACATGGGTTTGTTCCTAGATATTTTACTACTTGAGGAAACTGACAAAAGCTAGTTCTAACTCAAAGCTTAGCTTCTGAGAAGCCCTTTCATCCTGCTCCACTCAAGCAAGCAGCACAGTAGAAATCTGACCATTACCATAATTAACCTGTTTGCTATAGAGATTCCCATAGCTCAGAGGCCAGCAATCTTTTCTGTACAAGATCATCTAGTACATGCTGAGCTTTGTGGAACAAGAGTCAAAAATCAAGAATTTTGTTATTTAGGCACTTATACAACAAAAGAAAAGACAAGTTTCCATGAACTTTTTTGTATGAAATTCAATGAACTGCTTTATTTTTTTGGTGGTAGTACTGGGGTTTGAACTTAGGGACTTGTGCTTGGTAGGCAGGTACTCTACCATTTCATCCATACTCCCTAGCCTTTTTATGCTAAAACTGAGAGGCAATACTTGGAATAAAATATGGTGGTTAATATTTCATTGACATTGAAGCTTTGTGACAGAAAGTATATAGCACAGTGAAGAGCAGAGTCTATGCCAAAACATGGGAGATGGCACAGGACCAGAATGAAGTGATGTTGAGCACAAGTGCAGAGAAAATCCAGGAAGGAGTGTGCTATAGAGGAGAGAATGATGTAACATCCAAGGGACACCCAGCGCTTTCATTGTACATGCAAAGATAGAAAGTTCAATCTCCTTATTAAATTCTAAGTACAGCAAGTAGTCCCTCACCTCTACTACTGAATCCCAATTATTTAGTTAACACTTCACAAACACTGCATAAACCCAAATCACATAATGTATTTCTTGAGTTATGTCTGTGCTGTGTAGTATTAACATTAAAGAGGATGCATACTTAAAAAAAATTTATATGGAATGAAGTCTAGCCTAAGGTATTTGAGCCTTTGTCTTCAAGATGTTTTCTAACTCACCCATGTGTAGAATACTAATAGCAAAGGACAGGATTCTTGTATACAGTAATGAGAACTTTTTGGTGAAATATAGTTGTTTACTGCCCCATAGATATACATCAATTTTACTTCCAATAAGCACATTTCAGCATTCCTGACTGCCTATGTGACTGCTCTTTGGATTCTCCTCTAAGCACCTTCATGATTCACTTACTCATTAATTTTAGCAAATGATTAATGTGACACCACTCCAGTGAGCAGTGAACAAAGCTTTCTGGAAATAGTAGATGGGTGCAGGAGTGATCAGTTATGGCACGATGTACTTTTACCAGGCTCAGTCTGCAGATCTGCTGCTAATTAAGTGCTCTTCAACTGAAATATATTTTATTTTAAGTAACTCTCACCAAATATCTTGGCGTCTTCCACACATCTCTGGGTTCGTCTCCTTATGTTTTCGCAATCAGCTACAGCTCTCTGGTACCTCAACTAGACATCAAAAGTGAGAGCAAAAGATGAGAAAGTAAATGTGTAGCACTGGGAAAGAATGTCTTTGCTTACTCTAAAAATGTCACCTCTGTGAAAACAATATAAAGCAAAATAGGAATTATAAAAATCTTAGCTCAGCTACACCAAGCCCCAGCCAAAGCACGAATCTACTTTTTTGAAGCTCAATCAGTCATTCAGCCTGCTAGTTGTTACACAAGTTTCAAACTCATTATCTAGAGAAAACATTTTCTGTTTCTCATTTACCCAACACTGCTAACGAACAATGCATTTTCTTTTATTGACTTTCATTTTAGGTTAACTAAGTTTTAAAAGTGGCTCAACTATTTGAAAGCAGAATTAGTGCCTTTAGTCCTTTTCTCTCCCACTCTGACAATTCCGTTCCGCCAATTACTTTCCAGCCTACATAGCTATGAGTAGTTTTGCTTTGGAATTACTGGCTTATCTATTTCTATTTTTTCTCTCTCCATGGACTTGGGCCAGCCCAGGGCTGGTTTCAGTATGCCAAATGTAGTCTAATCAACAGAGTACAATAGTCTGTGACCTCACACTGTACTTCCTCTAAATTGTCCCACATCAGATATCTGAGGCTCTAATGTAATAGGGAACTGAAAAGATGTCTGTTCTTAATGAGTGGCAACCCTTCCCCTGCCAACTAGTATACCTAGCAAGAGAACTGTGGAGGGGTGAGGGGTAAAGAGCCAATGAGAAAAAACTTCATTTAAGTTGGCATATAAAACTGTCAGAACATTTAAACCAGGAGAAAACACCAGGGGACAACACACATAGTGTAGCACATACAGTATACAATCTACTCACTGTCAAATCCTGGACTTCCTTCTCCAGTTTAACAGCTTTTAACCTTAAGGCTTGTTCAGCAAGAGAGGGCCCACGGTCAACAGGAGGGTCCTCAGAACTGCAGTCCTCACCAGCATTTCTCTGTGTGGCAGTGCTGAATGGGGGCAGCCATTCCCTAAGGCAGGAGGGAGGTGATAGATAATGAAGAAATGCTATCATAAAAAGAAAAATTATAACACGTTTAGAACCCAGAAATTTCCCCATACTCAAATTCTAGAGAAGGTGTTTTCAGTCACAGTAACAAATGAATCTACAATGTTGGTACCAGGCACAAGACTTTACCTGCATAACTGATCTCACAACATATTTAAAGTACTATTTTGGTTTCTTTAAAAAATAGTATTTTTACTGACATGCAGTTCTCATATCATAATTCACCACTTAAAGTACACAATATTCACACCATGCTGCCTACCCTTAACCATAGCAATTTTCTCCATCAGGTGGAGTGAGCGTCAGCCTTACCTAAGGAAGGGAGGCAGAGCAGCTGCTGCCCTAAGACCTTATCCCTCCATCCTTACCATCGGGACAGGCCAGGACATCCAACTGAGTCCTCTCTGGCCTTCTACTCACATAGATAGCAATTCCCTAACAGCCTAACAGACATACTCCATGTCTGTAGTCATGTATCTGAACAACCACTTTCTGTAAGTTTTATACACTATAAGTTACATAGTAAATTGTCTCTGGTTTGGTTTATAGTGTCTGCTTTGGAAATAAAGCAGGGTTCCTTTATGAAATAAAAGACAGAAGAGGTACTGCACAGTACCTTTGTATAGTTTATAATACCACCTGAACAGTGGCTATGATTTTCTTTGCATTATAATTTTTCTTTTTTGCCCGTCTTGGGAGTGAACACTGTCCCTGTCTGTTTTTGCTCAGGACTAGTGCTCTGCCACTTGGGCCAGAGTTCCACTTCTAGTTTTTTTTGATAGCTAATTAGAGATAAGGGTTTGTTTTTTGTTTGTTTTGGCCTAGACTGGCTTTGAACCATGATCCTCAGATCTCAGCTTCTTGAGCAGCTAGGATTGTAGTCATGAGCCACTGGTCCCTGGCTTTCTTTTTTTTATTTATATTTTATTATGAAAATACTGTACAGAGGGGTTACAACTACATGGGGAAGATAATGAGTACATTTCTTATCAAGCATTGTAGCCTCCTCCTTTGTTTCCCCTTCCCAGCCTCCCCCCCCCCCAACCCCCCCCGCCCCACCAAAGTTGTAAAGTTCGTTTTCGACATGACAACTTGTACTTCTCATTGTTGCAACGGGTCCACCTGTATCCTTATTTAAACAACTTGTTGGTCCCTGGCTTTCATTCTAATTATTTTAAAATGAGCCAGGTGTCTATAATATGAGCTACTCACTCAGTAGGCTGAGATGTGAGGTTCAAAGCCAGTTTGGGCAGGAGAGTTTACAGACTCTTATCTCCAATTCACCACCAGAACACCAGAAGTGATGCTACGGCTCAAAGTCATAGAGCACTAGACTTGAGCAACAGAGCTCAGGGACAGTACTCAGGCCCTGAATTCACTGGACTAAAAAAAGAAAAACAAAAAGATTCCTTTACCTTTGTTGCACTATTTTTCTTTTTTACTAGCTATGGGAAGGGTCAAATAAAAGATAACCAAACTCCTTCCTACCCAAATAAAGTGTACAATTCAAAGGGGTTGTTCTTTGTGGGGGAAGGTTGTTTTTGTTTTTGGCTATACTCGGGCTGGAGCTCAGGGCTTCATGCTTGCTAAGCTGTTGTTTTACCAATGAGCCACACCTGCAGCCTTTTTTGCTGTTATTATTGTCCCTGTGTTACTGATAAGAAACCAAACAAAAACTAAGGCTAACAGGCTTAAGACTTAAATGACTTGTTCAAGTTCACACAGCTATGCCAGGCAAATTAGTGTGCTACCTGTGGTCTCAGCTACCCGGAGGCTGGTAACCTAGTGAGATCTCCTCAAAACCAAGCATATAAACAAAGAAGGGAATCACATAGTTAATATTCTGTTGAGAACAAGGCATTCAGTGTCAGGAATAACAAAAAAGCCTTACTAGTTCAACTCTTCTTCTTACAGAAAAGGAAAGTCATGTTTAGTAAAGAGAGCTGACTTAGGCTTAGAATTCTAAGCCTTTTCGGACCACACATTGTTAAAGAGCTTTTAGGGAAGAGAAACCACTGAGATAGATTCTGAGATGGAAACTCAACTATATTCAGTCAAACCAATAAAATACTTGCTATATGGCTGGACTAAATAATCAGTCACTGAAACAGATTCTTGTGTTCAATCACTTATACAATACAGAATTCTGTACAGATAATGAAATTGGCTGAGGCCTGTGTTCAACCAGCCAGAAATTTCTTAAATAACAAAGTGCTTAGGTTTTAGGTTTCAGGAAGTACCTCCAGAACCCATTCGAGGTCAATTTGAAACCAGCTTTTCAAGAATGGACACATGCTGGCCAGCTTGCCTTGTCAATGACCTTTTGACTCCAAAAGCAAAAAACTGAAACTACTCCCTGAAAGGAAACATGTGGCCTATGAAGAGGCATGATGACTATCTACGCCTGAACAAAAGAGTCCTTCTCTCCCTTCTATAAAATTCCTTACCCGTTTGCACACTTAACATCTCACGCAGGCCGGAAGTTCGGTTCTCATAATAAACTCTCTTCTGCCTGAAGAATAACTACCAACTGATTGGAAGATTTAAGTTTCCTGCTCCTGACCTTGCCAGTCTGTCTCACAATAAAAAAGCTGGTGTGCCATATAGTATTTGGCTTTTATGTGCATAGGGCAGCAAGTATCACTAAAACGTTTGATAAGAAATTCAGAGTAGGGGCCAGTTTATAGCAGATCTTGGATGGAGGCTTTCCATCTTTAAGGAAGTTTCCGTTTACATGTTTTTGGAAAATCAGAATGTGATTTCAAGAGTTCCTTTGAACAAATTGTTTCATATATTGGAAAATGGTCACAGAGATTTTTTTTGATGCTGTTACCTAGCTTGGACTCAAGGCCTGTGCGCTGTCTGTCCCTTAGCTCAAGGCTGGTACTCTACCACTTGAGCTACTCCTTCAGTTCCAGCTTTATGGTTTAAATGGGGATAGGAGTTTCACAACTTTACTGCCAGGGTGGGCTTTGAACCTCAATCCTTAGTCTCAGCCTCCTGAATAGCAAGGATTACAAGCATGTGCCACCAAGTGTCTGGCTGAGGTAACTTTTGAGCAAAGGCTATTTTTAAGAAAAGAGCAGACTGAAAAGCTAGAAATGCATGTAAGAGAACTTTTATCATTCAGATTTTCAGGATGGCTTTGAATTTGTTATAGAAATATGGTTCCACCTTACTTCATTGTTGGTGGGAATGTAAACTTGTCCAACCACTTTGGAAAGCAGTATGGAGGTTCCTCAAAAGACTTCACATAGAGCTCCCCTATGAC